CAGGGAGGTGTCCAAGCCCACATCCCTGTCGCGAGGGGAGGGGCGGCTTCGTTACGTCGTCATTGACGTGGAGGGGGTTCTGTGAGGGCAGAGGTGGGTTAGTAGAGATGTAGGTACATAGAAAAGATATGTACCTACCTTTTTCTTGTGTTTCAGGGCTGCTTCGTCATGAGGGGTGAGGGAGGTGGTGGAGAAGACCAGGATCAACGATGTTGAACCATCGTTGATCGCGGTTCGGCGAGTTCCGGCTATGCCTCCTATTGGCTGGGAAATCTGGCCCGCTCCCCATCCGTTCCGTTATCGACCAACGGAATGTCTCCGATGCATGCAGAATGCAATTTATCTCCATTAAAACCATCGGAAATTGTTGTAAGTATATAAATTCATCTGTACATGTAATTTCAGTGAGATCCCCTGGCCAATTTATTAATTTTAAGATGCAAACTAAGAAACAGCCAACGACGGGGTGGATTCCGTAGTCAAACCAACTCACGGACGTGTCCACTGGTTTGTATCATAGGATTTACATTGGAAATTCAGGCTAATTTTTTTATATGATGTACTAACTTACACAAGGATCTCAAATGCCAAATTTTGTGATGTTGCACCTCGTCGAACGAGTGGTATTTGAGAGGTTGGAGACATCAGGAGGACGTAAATCACCACACGAAAACAGTAACTCAGGTTCTTAGCTCGTTCTTGCCCTCAGAATTTATTCGGACCTTTGTAAATACATAGAATACAGTAATATACTTACATACCGAGGATAATTCAGCGGATTTTCATCATAGGCCAACAGTATTGGCAATTCCGAGGTCGATGAGCGGAACGCAGGCTGGCCGGACCGCCAGGGCCAGCCAATCACGTCGCCCGCGGCATTCGCCGGATAAGCCATCAACGACGATGACCGTCGTTGATCCTCATCCTCGACCACCATCTGCGCTCTCCCCTCTTTGCCCAACACCCCAAACGACACCTCAAGACTGAAAAAAACGATAAGTAATATGTTTTATTCGTGTTTACATACTCTAATACACCTTTAATTCAACCTTAGGCCAACGAACGTCGACTTGAAGTCGACGTTCGTCTTCCCTGGTTCTAGGGCCCCCTTCAGTAGGGATGTGGGCAGGGGCAGGAACCCCACCCCTCCGTCGTTCGACTCGCCTCTCGCGCCCCTCTTCTTATATAGGGGTGTGGGCCGAACCACAGACGGACGAACCACGGCGACGAACGACGATGGCTACGACGAACGACGACGACGACGACGACAGCGGGCGACGAATGACAATGGGAGGGCACGACGAGGACGATAGGGGCACGACGAGGGCAACGGCACGACGAGGGCAACGGCACGACGAGGGCAACGGCACGACGAGGGCGACGGCACGACGACGAGGACGGGGGCACGACGACGAGGACGGGGGCACGACAATGAGGACGGGGGCACGACAATGAGGATGGGGGCACGACGACAACGACGAGGGCACGACGAGGAGGACGGCGGGGGCATGACAGGGGGCGCCCTTCACCCTCTG